AATAGATCTATCTAATTTAGGTACAAAATCGAGATGATTAGCCATATAATTCAATATTGTCGGTAGCAATTGTGATAAGTGTTAATATCTTAATCTTTAAAAGAAGCTTGATACAAAAATACCAAAGAATAACGACGACCATGAAACCTGAAAATTCTTATGCTGGGTTGCACCACCTAACTTTAACGGTAACTACGACGATAACCGGTGCTTTTTGTATGGAGTTTGACAGATTTTTGACGTTTGTCAAAGTTAAAGTAAGATGGTACAACCCAGCCTTAGTAGTTGAGTAGAAATATTTTAGTAGCAATCGTAATAATTCTCAATATCTTAATATTTGTAAGAAACTACGTACAAAAACTCCAAGGAATCATGACAGTTCCACTAAATCTGGAATAAAATCACAAAGATTGCGGTAAAACATTCCATAAATATAAACAGCCCTCGGGCATCCATCAGGAGCATAAGAAATTTGTTCGCCCCGTCTCGTATCATTTTTCACCCCAAAATATGTTTGAGGTACAATATATCAAAGCCGAGGCTATGCCTACGAGTAAACAAATCAGGTTACCTCTTTGTTATTCTAAGGATTATCGGTAAAGTATACTACTTCCTTATTTATCTATCTTTGTACTATCGGCAACAGTGTTAACTGCCCATTGCCGGTTATGTCGTCTCGTTCTATCGCAAAGAAACACCATTTGTTGAGAGCGAGAGCAAAAACAGAAATGGATAGTTAACACTGTCGCCGTGTGTACATAAAAGCAAAAGGTTCCTGTCTTACTCACTTATCACGAAATCTCAGAAAAAAAGGACCGTGGCGGCCGGGGAAAATAAAAAAAATACCTGCGAAAGTCTGAAGAACTAAGACTATTTTAATTGAGCAATTATTAAAAATAAATAACCGAAAGTTGTGGATAGTCCCATGACGATATATGCCATATTTTATGGCATTCATTTTACCATTCTCTATTTCAACAGTAATAAGTAACGCCCGTATTCACAAACATTACTATGAGGTCTCACAGTGCACATGGACGCACAGGGTGACACACGAACCAATCACAGAGCTCTATTCGATTTGCTGCTTCACTTGCAAGCATCGTTTGTGAATACGGGCGTAAGACCCGTATCTTATTTCTTAGATTCTTAATTTGTCTAAAAGAAAAAACATTACTTACCTGCCCTAATTATTCCTTAATCTCAGTAAAATCACTCAATGCCCTATCTTACCAAGATTAAAACAATCCAATTATCTCTTTCTTTTTTCTTTGTTCAGATTTTTATTTGCTGACGTCAGCGATAGGGCCTTGTTAAATTTTAATTACAGTTTGAGGAAAACAGCAGACTAAGTTTAAATAAATTTGGATCATGGCTCAGAGCGAATCTGATTTATTAAATTTCGCAAGACCGCAAATCTTTCTGGAGCAGACATTTTAGGCAGCTCGCCCACTGAACGTTTTATTATTTCAGAATATCTACGATGCTTCTAATAAAATCATTTGTAATAATGTTCTTTGATATACAGTCGTAAATGAAATTGAGAACTAGATTTATTAAAATACCTCCCCACAACTGTACGTGAGTTCTTAGATCAAGCAATGCTTAATTCTTAGCAATAATTCATTTAAAAAGGTCACACAGAAACGTTACAAGTAGATCATTTATTTTATTAATTTAGGTTTTCGTGACATGGTAATAATATTGTGTATTTTAACCCTTAACTTTGTTTCTGAGAACCGCTGACAAAATTCCCCTAAGACCAGGCAAATTCAAGCTTTCTTATAAATTTTTGGATTTATTGTAGATACTATTTTTAGCTTGTAAAATGTGATATTTCAACTTTCTATATCTTTTGAATGCGTAATTTGATACTTACAAAGTCAGTTAAGCATTTTCAAAATCATTACTAGGTATTTTCTTATCTTAAACCACCCAACCATTTACTAACAAGAAAGACAGATTAATGAAGACTACACAAAGAATATATCGTATTATTAATAATTCAAGCATACGTAGTTATTTGTCAATGCTGGTCCATTTTCAACCATAAAGTTTCCCACGTTATTCCATTTAGTTACAAGATTGGAACCATACAGCGAATGATTACCGGAGAGTGTCCAAAGAGAAATAGGAAATAAAATACAATAGAGACGTACAGAGTTATTTGGACCTTAGCGCACTTATGAGACTCATACAAGTTTTATACTTACACTCGAACGTAATTTAGTAGCATTATTTGTAAGTCCATTGTTTAACCTTTGTAAGTTCTTAGTAGCACCGTTGTAGATTCTTCGTAGCGCCATAGTAGATCCTTCGTAATACCATTGTACTTACATTCTTAGTAGCATTAATACCTACCTATTTTATGTAGGTATTGTTGTAATATCGCCGAATATTGCGTGGCACAATATGTAGTATCTTTCATTTTACCACAATTAATTATTTACAATAAAAGATTTGTCGTTTTCATTGATTTCCATTCAATCCCACAGAATTTGAACTGCTCTATCTATCTTTTGCATGATAATCAAAAGCAATAAACAATTTTCTTCCTAAACTCTGTCGTTATTTACTTCAAAAACAAACTTTAATGTGTACTCCTTCAAGTATTAACTCCATCTCAGACTGATGATTTTACGAACTCATTTAATTTATTCCTATCAACATTTGAAATAATGATCGGCACATTACCATCATCGGCTCATTTTCAGGATCATGACCCTCTCTAATTTTTTAGAATCAAGTGGAGTTAAAAGATATTCCGTAAAATAGCCAACGTGATTTTCCCGGGTAACCTAACACCCTCGCTTAATTTTAATTGGTGGAATTGCTTCTAAAGGTTAACACAGGCAATGATACCTTTTTATAGAGTCGAAAGAACGGCCAATACAAATCTATGAATTAGAAAGTATTTATTTGCAAGTTACAGTTAATATATTTGCAATGCTCTAGATAAAAAAATATTTTACTGTTGAATCTTTTGTCTTTTACATTGATTAATGTTATGCAAAAACTATACAAAATAACCTACGTTTTTGGATTTTCCTCTTACATTATTTTAAGTATTATCCATTTACTTATACTCGCAACATGTAGGCACTCGTATGTTACTCAGAATGAATAAGTTAGGAACCAAAAGAAATACATGAAGTGCGTATCTTACAACAACTACCTACATCATTGAAATTTTTTGGCTGTTCTATTTTGTTTGTGGTCTTTGACAAAATAATTGTTTAGTAGAGAAACTGGCCCTGGTTTTCGCTTCGTAAACTGTATCCGTAAGATAATTCTTGGGTATCGCTTTATTGTATTGTATTTTGATTTGATTAATTCAAAATATCTCTGGCTAAATATAATAAATTTTCTACCTCAGCATAGAAAACAACGAATTTCGCCCTTAATTTTCATGAATAGGGGTAAATAAATTAGTAAAATTGTACGCATACTGTTTATTAATATAATGACTAAAACCTTAACACAACATACAAGGAACTTTAAACAAAAAGCACACAGCTGGCATTATGCAGCGTGACGCGAGCGTAGCATGACGTTTCTACAATAAAATAGTCAAATTGAATCAGTTGCTGTCGCGTTGCCGCTGCGTCGCGCTCACGTCGCGCCGCTGTCACATCACCTGTGCGCTAGAGGCGTTATACCGAAATAAAAAGTAGAATCAAATCTCACAGCTCAATAAGTTAGTTGTACTTCAATAATAGTAATATCACAATCAAACATCTTCAGAGATCATTCACAAATACATAATTATTTATACAGGGTGTCAATTTTTCTATATTATAATATTGTAGAGTTTTTAAAGATAAACGACAAGTACATCAGATTTAAATATATCTCTATAAGGAACCAATAGAGCCAAATATATCTATGGGATTTTACTTTATTATTTAACTTTCTTCTACAGAACGTTTCTACTACTCAAATACCTAAAGGATTTTAGCTTTAGCAAATAGACTGCTAGATAACAACAATTCAGTAGAAAAAAGTCAACAATAAAATAAGTTCGTTGAAACATAAGTTTTGCAGTGGAGGGACTCTCATAAAAAGATTTACAACTTTGTTTTTTAGTATTTAGTATTCGTCATACTCCGACATAACTAATTCACTTCAGTGGATGCAAAGCAACCATAAAATATTAATAATTCATAACTATAACAATAAAAGAAGAGATCCACACTGTTCACGATAAAGGTGCATTCCCACTAGACAAAACAGTGGGCCTTTAACCGATCATAAATACTGACATTCTTAGGACTTTTATCACATGCAATTTCCATTCGACTATTATTAGTTTAGTGAATAATAGCTTAATGTTTAAAACTTTAGAAAGAAATGCAACACCGCACATCAAAATACCCGTATAATTCCAAAGTATACAAAGATTATCACTATTAGATTCTGTTTTCCTATAATTTGCTCAATTATACTTAATAGCATAAGTGTTATAAACATGAAACATTGAAATCATTAAAATTCTCATGCCAAAGATATAATAACGTTTTATAAAATAATTTAAAACAGCTACGTTTTAAACTCGATTGTTAAAAACAGTTTTATTTTATAAAACATGAGTATTTTAAGGTATATCACTATGTACTCTAACTACATATAGACAGGTTAGAAAGGTACCGAAGTATAAAAGGTCAGTAAAAATACTACAGGGACTAAGTGTATAATACAATAATTCTCCCTATATTGTTCTTATATACACACATCTCACTACATCTTTCAAATAAATCGCTTCTGCGATCACGTTTTCTATATCTACGAGTATTTAAACATGGAGTCTTACCTATAAAATTCGGAGGGTACTTGGTCACCCACTATAAACTATATTAAAAATAAATAAATCTTAACAGTAGTGACTAGATTAAGAAATAAAATCCTTGTGCTTGGCACAAAACCAGTAACATCAATAAAACTTTCACGACAAAAGTTATGGTATAACCGGTGGTACGGGGCGTGCGCCTGTGCCTAATAAATGTACGTGTTTTATTCTTATTTTATTCTTGTTGTTCAAACCCGAGGACGCTCTGTTTGTAAAAAAAAAATGTTTGAGCGTGGACGCCCCGCGTACGCCCCGTAGCAATGTGAATACACCTTAACCTGGCGTCAAACATTAGACCGATATAAATCCTTCAGTCTTCAACCTTCATGACTTTCTTGCTTTTGTTGGGGCTGTCATTAATGACGCAACTGTTGAATCTGTTCACGACGTCTCGCACTTTTCCTTTGCTTATGACTAATTCCTTGTCGTAAGTCGGTGTAATTAGGCCTTTGTCATTACCATTGCAGAGTGGTTTGACAGGGAAATTTGCGCTTTGTGACTTCCTGAATTCCCTGACAGCATTATCAATGTTGTTGATGAGGTCCTTAGCGACGAAAGTAGCTATTTCATGTTTGATGCGATCTCTCTCGCTTTGTATTTCGAGAGGCCTGTGGTTGCTGGTTTCTTTGTCGTTGGTCCGTTCAGGGCTGTGGCTTTGGGTGAGGGAGTGAGAGGCAGGGCTGTCAGGACCTTGGAATGTGATGCTGGGGTTGCTGACGACCACGTTTTGAACGTGGTTGGTCTTTTCATATGTGTATTCGGAGTTGATTGGTTTCTCTCCGATGAGCCAGTATGTTGTCATTTTTCCTTTTCCCTGTGATGATATAGAAGTAGGTTAAATATAAGCTATATAGCTACCTACTAATTTTAACTAACAAGTTTGAAATAAGATAGCTGGAAAAATTCTAACCTATAACTTAAAACTCGTATCATTTTTCATAAAATCATACCTTCATGGTGATCTCTCCACGGCACTCCAACTCAAAGCAGTCGTATAGGTCCAGAACCTCCTTGGTCTTCGGGCTGACGTGAATCTTCAGCGCCTCTCCATGGGACTCCATCCTGGAGGCTGTGTTCACCGTGTCCCCGAACAGGCAGTAGCGTGGCATCTTCAGGCCAACTACACCAGCTACGCATGGCCCTAGAGAATTATGAATGGGTTAATTTGGACTATTTCTGATAGAGATACTTACCTAACGAAAAACAAAACAAAGTTATTTTTGTGATATTCCTCCCAAAGCAAAATGTGATCGTAAAAAGGGGCATTTGCATTCAACAATCATGCCTAAACCCTTGGATGTCTTCTGCTGAATATAAGCCTAAGATGCCCCAATGAATTTGAGATTAGTCGTTTCGAAGCGGCCTGCATCCAATGGCTTCCTGTGATCTTTTCAAGATTTTCTATCACCATCTTATGGATAGACGTCCCATATTGAGCTTGTACTTGAAGTCACGAGCACTAAATTGTTCATACTATGTATTTTTTTTCCATATTTTACTCAATTTCAACTGCATGTTCTCTACATACCCGTGTGCATCCCAATCCTCAGCAGCAGCCGCTCCCCAGGCCGGTGCGGCACTGTCTTCACCCTCACAGCATTCAGCAGAGCCAGTGACATGCGCGCGATCTCCGCCGCGTGGCGGTTACCATTGCGCATCGGGAGCCCTGACACCACCATGTACGCGTCGCCTATTGTCTCCACCTGTGGAACATTATCTTGGTAAGTGTTGGGACTGTGGGCTCTTTGAAATTAGATGTTTTGGATACCACTTCACCTATAATTTTCATATATTTTCCATGTACTGAAAATGGACATTAGTCCGACGCAGCTTGTATATTCCATGCCCTGAAAATGACGACTAACTTCCGACTCAAAGTATCTCTCTTCGACTATCCGTATAATTTGAAAGAGTTTATAATATATCTTTCCCAACACTGCAACTCCTGCATAGCAAGAGTTTTGCATCCAATAAAACCCTGCCTAAAGGTATGTACACTCGCGAGCAAAACTATGGAATCACTTACATGAAGTGGTTTCCACGCGAACTTGTGTACTAACGAATTTGTTAGTAACAAAAAAAGTGGCACCATTTTAAAGATTAAACTTTTTTCTTTAAATTGATATCAAATTCATTTAAATCACACCAGTATTTTAAAAGATATCCCGGCTGATGTAAAGAAGTAACGAAAAAGACATGTATGAACTGTTTGATACGTCGCGAGTTGCGGCCTATTTACCCCCTATAAAAGCACGCGTTTTTAGATTTTTGCTTTCACACGTTGATTCATACACATCTCCGCTTCTTTTGACACTTTACCTGGGATTCTACACCTTCAGAAGCAGCACAAATCGTTGCACTATTGCAAGAAAGGCTCAACCAGCGAGCTGTCGCACGTCAGCGCCACATAAGCCAGTCCTGGGTTTCGAAAGTTTCAAGACGCTTTCGGGAGACTAGTGGCTTTATCCCGAGACCAAGTTCTGAACAGCGCCGGTGCACATCGCAGAGGGAAGACCGTTTTTTCATGTCAACCTCTCTATGAAATCGTCATTTGACTGGAATCGATGTCCATCAAGAGCTCAGAAATGTTCGTAAGATAGCTGTTAGCGAGTGGACAGTTCGTCTAAAATATAAGCAATAGAATTTGACCCCAAAAAGGCCTGCCACAGGCTCGAAACTGACGGCAGGTCACCGATAAGCACCCTTTCAATTTGCTCGTACACTCGTACACACCATTTTAAATATTACGCTCGTAATATTTAAAATGGTGCCACTTTTTTTGTTCCTAACAAATTCGTTAGTACACAAGATCGCGTGGAAACAACTTCATGTAAGTGATTCCATACTTTTGCTCGCGAGTGTAGTTTCATGGGATAGCTCCTCAAAGAACATAATCAGAAAAATAACAATCATAAAGCTATCATTGTCATGATCGTGAACATCAGCTGCGAAAACCTACAAAATAATAAACCATCTCATTCGATATTACTAAAATGATGAGGCCAAGTAAATAGGAGTATAATGGTCGTATTACCTCCATAATAAAACCAATACACAACGTTTGGGTCTCACCAACAAAGCACCTAACTAAGCGGTGTTTATCACGCGATGGGGACTCACAACAGGTAAATAGATAATAATGCTAATAATAAAATATCGACTTTCCTTTTTTTGCCGAAATGAGAATAATGGCGGACGTTACGTACGAGATAAAGCCATTTAAGGCGGGGCGGGCATAAATAAGGTCCGATTACCCTCCTTCCCACATTCGTGTGTAGGGATGTAAATCAGGTGTAGCTTGCGATATCGTACATTTTGGTGTAGGTATTCTCAAAAAATGCTTCTTAAAGACAATCCTACGCACAACCTTTTTCTCTCATGTGGATCGCTATTGAATTCATTTAGGTTCTTTTTCAATGAGGCCAAGGTCTACTCTGAAATGTGCTAAAATCTCTGGGAAACCATCTTCATTTGAGTTCATAAAAGTCACGTTTCATCTCCATCAACATATTGCGTTTCAATCATTTTTCCCAAGCCTACCAAAAGAACTTTATTAATATCCACCTGTAAGAATTTTTCAAAGCGAAGGTATTCATTACAGTAATAATTTATCGTAATCTTAAGACCTATAGTAGGTAATGTCAAAAAGGTAGCCTAATCCCAATAAATAAGCCACAGTTCATTCTACCATTTCAATATATTGCTACACTATTTAGTATACAAAATGGCCGGGTTCGTATCGCTGTCCATGTAATCGGATCAAGTATTCAGCGTATTGGCCACGGTCCATCCAAGCACGATTGATGGCCACGTCCTACGCAACGATATATTTATCTCTACCCACCTTTGTTTGGTTTGGTTTTCCATTCACTTAAGCTAACATTAAGGTAACAGATACTTTAACAGACACAGGCCCGGATTCTGAATTAAGACCTTTGTCTTGTGCTAATTTTCTAATCAATTAAAGTACTTATGACCTACATATTAAAATAATTCTTGAGTAGAGATGAGGACTAATGTGTGAAATTATTTCAGAGGATGTAGGATTGATTTTTATTTCTCTTTCTACGATTAAACCAACGAATGATTTTGAAGAAATTTGCTATAGAGACAGTTCAAGATTCAAGGAAAAACATAGTTTGAATACCAGCTTTCTGAAGGGGGAAAAGCGCGAGATAGGTAGGTACTTTTTTTACGCGATACGTTCACTCATGCGAAGCCGCGGGCAAAAGCTAGTATATTCATAAACACTATTTAAAACAAACTCATAACAACATTCTAACTAAAATACCGCGTTTCTTTGTTTAGCAGAAACACACCTTTTACAGAAAGTGTCTAAGCTAAAATCGTTAACGCTATGCTGTAGTATTGTTCGTTCGTTTCAGCCGAAAGACGTCCACTGCTGAACAAAGACCTCCCCTAAAGATTTCCACAAAGACCGGTCTTGTGCCGCTCGCATCCATGTAGTATGTGTACTGCTTTAAATTTTATATAGTTGAAAGTTTTATATCAGCATCACCAGACTTCATAACGAAGCTATGGAGTACTAATTTGAATGCGAATGGTTTATTACAAATTGCACAAAGCTTGGCAAAGTGCCAAAAGTACGACTATAAAACCGTAAAATTATTCACCGCTGAAACTTAATGCGAAGGTAGTTTGATACAAACATAAAATATGATTTCTAGTGCTAAGCCTTAGTCTACAGAAACGTGTGAATGAACCTTATCTTAATTACTTTTTGTATAATTACCTATTTTAGCTGCCTGTGTTTTTCCAAACTGTAAAATAATTCTTTAGGAATATAGCAAAATATTTTAAATCCTGTATCTACTTACTTGCAGTACTTACAACGTTTAAGACTTAGATTTTTTATCAAATAATGTCCTATTTTTCGATCAAATAATGTCCACTGCTGGACTCTCTCAAGGATCTCTACAAAAATAATATATCTATTCAACCTAGTTGATTCCCGGCTTCCTGCAACCAGGTCGAACCAGAAGGAAGTCTACCTGAACTGTATTTTTCAGGGCATGGTGACCAGTTGATATTAAGATTAATAAAGACAAATAAAAAAACACTAACCTTATAAACGTCAAAGTTCTCAATGATAGAGTCGAAGCTGGTGTAAAGATCGTTCAACAGGTCAACGACCTCCAGTGGTGTGGACTCAGCTGACAGTTGTGTGAAGCCGATGATGTCGCTGAAGTAGATGGTGACCTGGTCATACGTCTCCGCCATGACTGGCTGGCCCATGATGAGCTGGGAGGCCACTGACCTGGGGACGAATATGTCAGGTTAGGCTATTCGTTTTTCAGAAAAACAGTAAAAATCCACGGTAATAGCCGTGTGGTTCCAGCTGAGTAGCATAGAACCTGTCATGCTCTTTCCATGGACATAATAAAGGTGACTAAGGGACAAAAAGGAACCCTAACATCAGGCGTCCCCAACGTATCTAGTCAGCCTAAATAATGATGACATAAAAAACTCTTCTTAATTTAATAAAATAGGTTACAAAAATAAATATTACAACAAACATGATATTTTACTACAAAATATGGCTGGCCTTAGGTGGAGGAAGAGTAAAAAATTATAGAATTTAGTTTTTGAGATAAAATAAATTCATGATATGAACGATTAAAACAATTCTTTTACAGAATAAGACACTTTTCTATCATTTTCCTTTCGATCTACCTCTACTAACGATTAGAAGATCGCACGTTTGGGTTCGGACCATTGAAAGCAAATTACTACCTTACAAGCTTTTTTATTATCAGAACCAAATAAATCTTAAGAAAATTTCCCAGTATAGGCTTATGTTCAGTGTAATAGATAAATCCTATTACATTTCCCAATCGTGCGAGAAAATATTATTATACAGGGTGGCAAAGAAGTGACGTCCAAAGCTAAAATTTAGATTCCTTACATCAATGTGTAACTAAATAACCCCCATGTATGTTCTACGATATTGCTTAGTTTAGGAGATAGAGTTAATTTTGTGATTTACAACGTTTTGAGAATCAACTCACGGTTGAAAGTTGATCTTCACTGGAAGTTTCTCTAGCGTAAGTGAGTAAAAACAAACGACAAGTGCTTGCCAGAGTGAGAAAAACATTTAAAAATCAACCATAGATAAAATGATAAATCACAAAATTATTAACTCTATCTCCTCTAAGCTAAACAAAATCGTAGAATATACATGAACCTTTATTTAAGGAAACTAAATATTTTAATCTTTCAACGTCAACTCTCTGGCCACCCTGTATACACAAGTCAAATATCACTGATAACGTGATAGGAAAACGTTTCGTATAACACACGAGTGAGTCTCCTTAGAAATTCTCGATTCACTAGTAAACCTAAGTATTTTTCCCAGTATCTCGAATGGCCTGTCACATCTCAAATATACTCGATATTGCACGCTTTGTCTGCCATTAATATCACTAATATCTTGACAGATATCTGCTATCTTTTCAAATAATTTGTGAACACCTTTGAAAATAAACTTGGCAACTAATACCTACATCTTTTATTCAAACCCTGCCAAATTGTTTTTTCGAGTAAACTTAAATTTTCGTGGAAGACTCCTCAGCTTTATTTAGATAAGATTCTTTACGGCTATCAATGTCTGCCACTTAAATAAAGTAACGTAGACAGAAATATAATCTGAATAAGCTACTACAATCTTACGGATCAAAAGTAAAATATTTACGAAAGGTTATTCTGACATTGAATGCAATTTAAGGGTTATAGAGTTTACTGACATAGAGAGCTGATGATGGTATACTTGCGGCCTTTTGCTTACAGATTGGAAGAAACAGAACAATCTTAAATAACTCTAAGTTTTAAATGTTCTGATCATTTATTGTTTTAAAAAACTGTAAAATACTCATACATGTAGTATTCAATCAAAAAAATTATTTAAATCCTGTAAAAATAAATACTTAGATACTGAAAAAAAAAAACATAATTTATATTTATTCTATGTAATGGTAGAAACACTCAAACGAGGTAAACCCTCGACCCTCTTTTGATGTGCCCTATACGCTGGCTAGACGAAACCCCGAAAGGGGTCATGCTTAATCATTTAGTTTTTACCAAAACGTCCTGATTTTTATGTAGCTACCTCTTTATAGATAAAATTACTCACTTGGGCAACAACTGGTACAGTAACTCCTCACATTTCCTCTTCTCCTCGAGGTAGTCGGAGGTGCGTTCCTCAACCAAAGCCTCTAGATTGTTCGCGTACTGCTCCACCTGGGTCAGCAACATGTCCAGACGGGTTGATGTCTCGCAGTCCCTAGATGAACAAAAAAGTTTATATTTACTGAGTATAATATCGCTTTTTTTCAAACAATTTTCGCCATTGATTCCAGGCTCAGTAAAAAGGAGTGCATAAACAGTTACATTCTGCTTATTACATTCATTTTTAGATCGGTTCATCATTTTTCGGTTGTTAGATTAATTTGCTATCTGTGTATTACTGTGCAGGCTCCCTATGTTAGTTGTACACTATGTTTAAATTTGTTGTCCTCAAGAGCTTTGCTTAATTGGGACAAGATTAAAATGGCGCCGGTGCAAACTAAATGTCCAATTACAAAGACCACTTATTTTATTTTGAAGTACGTAGCCAAATTTTAATTGGATTTAGATCAAATGCTGTTAGGTCTTGGTATTTGAAATCTAGCCATAGTAATGTTGCGGTAAGGGTGTTATATGCATACCTTGTAACTTCCAAGCCTGGGGGTTGGTCGTGTCGGTGAAACCCGTCTATTGTTCTGAACTATTTTAGACAAGATTAATTCTCAGCCGAAACATTGTTCTGTGCTCCAAATATTTGATACCTAGACTTTTGAGTAGGGTTTAGAGCCTTGTAATGGCTTAAAATAACATTAAGTCTTATTATTTTATTTTTGTTCTGAGCCAAATAAGGTGTATTATATTCTATTGTATAAAGTTATGCTCGCTGGCGACCTTTCTTTACCTTTATTTTGCCTTCTAAATATTGTTTGATATTGAAGCAGTTGCTACTTATTTTCAAACATTAGTACCTAAGACTAAATTGCCTTGAATGTCTCGAGGATCCGAGCTTGCTCCTACACAGTTACTAACTTTGAAACAACCGAGAAAATTTTAAGTGCAAAAAGTAATAAATAAAAACATACACTTTCAAAATATCTTTGACTTATAATAATACCGATATTTAAGTGATCCTTTGTCTAAATGCTGAACTACCACTAGTAGTAGGCATAAGAAGCTTACAAAGTCTTCGTAAGCTATGATTGGCCTCGCAATCCGAAGTGCAAACCACTGAACCAAACAACCGTTGAATTTTCATCTCAGCCAGACGTCTAAGGCTGAATGCCATCGATTTCCCTCTGGAAAGAGGTTCTCAAACATTTTTCTCGTAGTTGAGTAATATTTTTGTTTTTAATAGCACCTTTGCTGTAGGCCGATCCTGGGTTGTTTTTGTTAAACGAGTGCATTGAACAAGTACGAGTATATCTTCAAGAACATTTTTAAAACATCAACAATCCAAAAATCGGTCTCAATTTGGGAAACTCGTTTAATTCCATCTTTCATCGTTTCTTGTTATTTTCTTCTCATTATTTTGGTTGCGGTTCCATGACAGTTTAACTTTGCTCCGGCTCAAACTTGACCTTCATTGGTTAGGTTTTTTTTTAATTGGCGGTTAATCTGTAAATCATGGATACATAGGTGTTGTATAGTAGTGGGAATAGTCTTATCTTCTCAGCCAAAAGGATCTACAATGACCCACCTACGATTATTTCCCTGGACTAAAATCTAGTTACTTACTTAAGAAAAGTATGTAATACTTACTTGTTGATCTTGTGTATGTTTTCCTTGAGTGCGGAGAAGTCAGGCCGGTCGTCGTCTGGGAGGGTCCAGGGAGGTTCTCCCGTGAGGGACTGTCTTGGCGACGCCGAAAGCGGGGACGTGCCGCGGTTGCGCATCTCTGCACTGCCTGTTGGACAATATGGAGAGATTATGGTAAGGTATCGCTGCACAATTTATAGTGAGACTAGCTTTCCCCCCGCGGCTTCGCCCGCGTGGAATTTTGTCTGTCACAGAAAGAGTTTATCACGCGCATTCCTGTTTCAAAAACCGGGATAAAAACTATCCTATGTCCTTTCCCGGGACTCAAACTATCTCTATGCCAAATTTCATCAAAGTCGGTTCAGTGGTTTAGGCGTGAAAGCAAGACAGACAGACAGACAGACTTACTTTCGCATTTTATAATATTACTAGCTGTGCCCGCGACTTCGTCCGTGTGGAATAATGACTTTGGGTAGGCACTTAAACTTAAATTGAAGTAGGTAATAGGTGATTTTTAAATGTAGGTTAGTACATTGGTACTAACCTACATTTAAAAATCACACTTTGTTTCGATTTACTACTAAACTTGTTTCTAAAATTTCTGCCGATTTTTCGCCCATGATTGTCTATCTAGATAAGTATAAGTACGCAGTAGATTAATTTTATGATTCAGAAACGAATATCTGTCCCATGATCAAATGACAATGACAACAAGTTTAATTGAATTACCTACTCCAATTTGAATTTATTGGTGTAAATATTATTATGATATGACCCCGAAAATATTTCAGTAAATGTTTTAAATGTGAGTTTTCCTTTGTCTGTCCGTTGCGTTGCTATCCGTTAGGTTTCATTTCATTTAATTAAAATTGTAGTTTCATGTGCGTTAATTAAAAATACAATTAGTTTCAAAATTATTTTCCTTATCGAAATAAAATAAAAGACCACAATTTTCGTAAATTATACTTTCCCGACAAATGTTTAAATAATCCCAAAATCTCAAAGTTCTTTAGCAAAAGTACAAAAGCTAAATTGTCTGACTCTAAATATGGAGACGCCTTAATGTTCCTATTGTGCTGAAAGAATTTAACCTCTTCTAACTTACGCTAACATTTTTAAATTGTGGCTTGAATATAAAACTATAACTTTTAATGACTCATATAGGACAAGAGTCTATTATGAGGACTTTTGAGGCACTTTTCTATCGTCTTAACTTCTGTATTGGTTGCTTTATGGATACAGCTCTTGGTATCAACTGTAGTCACCATAACATAAGTATCTGACATTGTTAAATTGAACCGACACAATTTAACTGCCTCACAAATATTGATCCTTTTCTTACTTAGAACGTTTAAAACTATCAATGCTAGAACAAATCTTGGGAGCAACTACTTGAAGTGCTTTTTCTATTTTTTCTATTAGAATCGTACTTATACAGAAGAGAATTTCGCTCAAATTAATATCTGGATGGGAACCGTTGATCTTTGTATAAGGGACCCTAAAGTAAATACACCGTTCGTCAATAATTCATAACATTTTTAAGCCGCGAATAAAGGCTGTAGTTATCTTCCAACAAAAAATCCCACGAATTTTCCTCGCACATTTTCACGCGAACGAAGCCATCGGAGGCACCTGTCGAGTCCCAACAAATGCGGGCATCTATAAACCGCTGTAGAATACGCTCTAAAGAAATATCTTCGCACATATAAGCATGTATTTCAATATATTAAGCTTTCTTAGCCTGAAAAACTCGGGAGAAATCCCGGGGGAATCTATTCATGTGTTTTTGCGGGTGAGTTTGTAGCGCTAAGACCTAGATTTACGTAATGCATTATTCAGGAAGACCCACGTAGGTGTTAAGGGCTTGCGGTATTTTAAAGAGACCCATGTTTTTGTAACTTGTGAAGTCAATGTGTTAGATAATACTCAGACTCTTTCTCAGTCGTTCAGTTAACTTATCTAATCTTTTTTGTAACAAATTATTCCCCAGGGATTTGTATTTCGTACGTTTTTACGTTAGATGTGGTCTAGTCTATCAAATTGAGGGTTACTAATCAGTTTTAAAAGCAATGATCGGTTGTTTTGACACTAAAACTATGCTATAATCTACGACGTACAAGTTTTGAAAAAGAGGCTGACAATGGTGCTTGAGTTTCTGTCGCTGCTTCTTCTCAGCACTGGCCTATTTATTGTCCTGAACCAGTGGTAGGCTTAATACTGGGACGTGTAAAAGTGCGTTTTAAAAGCCTACTTGCAAAATGTAAAATGAGTTTAGTGAGTTCTTATGAGATTTATTTTCACTGTAAGTAAATGGCAACTTTCATAGCTTATTTTTACACAAAATTATATTACCTACTTAATTTACCTTTCTTTTGTTTAATGCCAATTGAGATGTGCACATAACTGAAATCAAAATGCTCCAGCAATAAATGCTCAATTCCAGTTTTAACGGTCGGAGAATTCTTCGTCACTGCTTACGTAAGCTCCATCGGACTAAGGCCTCAGCCTCGAACTTAGCGGGCAGCGGGGCGGCGGCGGCGGCGGCGCGGGAGCGGCAGGATCTTATGCGTAAAATCAAATAGACCGGTTCTCGAAAACAGCGGCGCGGCAGCGGGGCGGCAGCGGGCAACGAGCGGGCAGCGGCGAGGGAGCGGGCAAGGAGCGGGCAGAGCGAACTCCTTCTTTTGCCCACAATAAATCGAGCGTTAGGAATAAATTTGAATCGAAATAAAATTGTCGCCGTTGTTCAGACATTTCGTTTGCGAATAAAAACAAATATCTCGACAACACAACCCCGAACACAACACTTCGCCGCTAAAGCGCCGCGCGAGCTGCCCGCTTGTTTCGAGAACGGGTCTGCGCTGCCCGCCCCGCTCCAGCGCCGCCGCCGCTCCCGCCCCGCTGCCCGCTAAGTTCGAGGCTGAGGCCTAAGCGTCGTGTCTCAAGTGGCCGATGGCTAGGCCACTATAGGAGACGTAATGCCTAGTAATGGCTGGGCCACTCTAGCAGAAGTAATGCCTAGTAGTCACTGATCTGTGCTAGTAGTGGACCACTTGTGTTAAATTCTTAAGTAGTTTAATGTAGGTGGATGCAGAATCCTAATGCAGTGGGTACATAGACCTCCTTCTGGCGCAGTCGAGTAAAAAGAGGTAATTGATTGGGAATATTATGGTACTCGTAGTTAATAAATTAGACACCAATTTTGGTAATTAGAATATTTGTCTGTACTCTGAAAATTGTTGAAATTAAATGAGATTATAAAGGAAGTTACCTATAAACCTACACCAAAAAGATACATAAATGAGAATGCTAATGAGATAGAATCTACGCTATAAGGAATGTTTTAATCGGTTTAACCAGCGAACTTCCTACCGCCTACATTCATCAGAATTATTATTATAGGATTCTAATGGAAAAATTATTCAATTTTCTATGTTCCATAAATAGGGACGCAGAGTCAAATTTCACCAGCACCGCATTTCCTTTGATCCAAAGATATTCATAATCCTCAAATGTGTACTCACAATCGTACGCTGATTTCACTCGAAAGTAGAAGGACTTGCAAAACAAACGAAGGGAAAGCAATTTCTGAAATTTGGAGTAAAGTCGAGAAACCACACGCCCTACCTATAAACTTTGTTCGGATTGCTTTAGAATTTACTGAGAAAATGAGATTTCTTGTAATGACTCCTGAATCCTATGGAGCGCGGGGGAATCCAACTTCGGAAATTCTCGCAATAATCTCTAAAGAAAATTTCATTTGAAGACCTAATTATGATTAGAATTTCATTTGTATCAAATTATATTTCGATCTCGAGATAACTTATTTGGCTTTCTAGCCGGCTTTATTAAAGCGCCTAACTTTTCGATAAGATTCCTTCCTGATAAGTGTTTCAGTTTTGCTTGGGTTATAGGTTCTCCTTACAGCTACTATACAGCGTCAAGACTTACGTTTAATCTTGTCTTCCAGTAGAGCGACAAGTAGTAACCGGCAAGGGCAAGGCCCCCGCATTGCTACCAGAGAGTCGACGATCCATCATGGGCTTCGAAAGTGTTTAAGGGAAGAGAACTTTAACTGCTATGGATCCTCAAATACAGCTACTGTGAGACTAACGTTTAAACTTGTCCTCCAGTTTTGGCAGCGCTATAGATCTTTAATACAGCTGTCATAAGACTGACGTTTAAACTTAGACTTTATAAAGAGGAAAGATTTGTATCTATTTTTGTATGTTTGTAATGAATAGGCTCAAAAACCACTGAACGGATTTTGATGAAACTTTACAGTATTATTGTTCATAATCCAGAATAACATATAGGCTATAATTTATGACGATCTGTGACAAACGAAATTTCACGCGTGCGAAGCCGCGGGCGGAAAGCTAGTCTTCCAATATAGAGACACAGTAGTCGCAAGCGAGAGTTGCCGTGAGGCCGCCGTATCTCTGGTAGAGAGCTATAGCTTATAAGCCTTGGGAAGTCTTTCAGCGTTTGGCAGCGCTGTAAATCTTTAATACAGCTGTTCTAACACTTACGTTTAAACTTGTCCTCAAGTATAGCGGCACAGTAGTCACAGGCGAGGGTGCAATGTGGCCGTCGCATCTCCAGCAGTGGGCTGACGGCCCGCCGAGGACTCGGCGAGTCCGCCCCCCCTGGCGGCACCAGGGACATATTTCTGCAACAAAAGAAAACTGCGTTAAAACCTGTGAATATTTAATTGGCTGACTCTGTTTTATTTTTTAAATTAAAGCTTAAAGGTAAGCCGAGAAAACCTAAAAAAAAATCTTGTGATTGGTCACATTTTTTTTATGACACTCGTAAATAGTTTATTTAAATAATCTCGCTTTCCTTTTTGTGTCTCCTTTGTTACCTAAGTACTTGTTAATGTAAAATTTAACATTTGTCTTTAATCTCCTAAATTTCATTGATGTAATAAATGTTTATAATACAGCTACGAACCACTGATGAATCGCCTGCCAAAATAAATCTTTGCAGCACAAAGCATTTTGTGACTTTGACATAGTCAACTATCCGTTACTATGATATTTCAGTTTCACCAAATAACAGGACACATGAATGTAACATGGGAAATTGTGAATAGCACTAATTTGCTTTCAGAGTGCCTCAAAGGAGCATTGTACGACGGGCCTCTTGAACGAACAGTTCCGCGAATTGCTCCTTTTGATTGCAATTCGGTTATCGCTAGTCGAGCCTGCATCGTAATGCATTTTCACTCGTGCACATGGAACTAAATAAATAAAATAAATAAATAAATAAATATATCCTTGGACATTTTACACTGCGCTTCTAGTCCCAAACTAAGCAAAGCTTGTACTATGGGTACTAGACAACGGATATAAACATACTTAAATACTTTTTTTTTGTAAATACATACATATTATACATAGAAAACACCCAGTCCAATACAAACAAATATGTTCATGCACACAAATGTTTGTACTGTGCGGGAATCGAACCCGCAACCTCCGGAATAGTAGTCCGTTTCGAACCACTACACCAAACGGCCGACCAAAACAAAACTGAACCTTATATTTATTTTAGGAGCGTTAATTGAGTTTATGTTGTCATCATCAAGCTATTTAATCTCCTCTGCAGGTCCCTATCTAATTTTATCATCATCATTTCAGCCACTGAACGTCCACTGTTGAACAGTGAACATGAACATAATAATATGCCTCCCTTAATGATTTCTATACAGTTCGGTTGGAAGCGGCCAGTATCCAGCGCCTTCCTGCTACCTTTATAAGGTCGTCGGTCTACCTTATGAGTGGTCGTGTGTGCTATATAATGCACCAGGAGCAAATGAAGGATCTATACTCCCCAAGCTGGCCAAGCGGGTTGGGGAGGCTTGGTGTTCACATAGGTATTCGTCCTTTAGACCATAGTATCCTATGAAATGATGATGATGATGATGATGATTATGAGACTATAGTAGGTATACTCGTAGCTAGGGACTACTCTAATCCTACACCATAATATAGTGTGTAAGAACCTATGTTGTTTAAATGGATCTAAAGTAACAATCAAATCTTATACCGATTTCACCATCAGTCCCTAATTTTTAAGGTACCTACTAGGGTGGAGCACGATTGTATGGGAAAAAATTTTTTTTTAGTTTCGAAGTTCTAATAGGGGGGGATTTGTGCCTTATATGAAAGTATAAATAACTGTAATTTTTTATCCCATTTAATGAATATCTTCTGCCTCCGCAGTGACTTCAAAATTTTAAAATTTTATTTAAAGTTGAAAGTCGTCTAAGGTGAAATATTGCGCTCTATTTATTAGTAAGAAGGTATTAAATGACAGATAATTTATAGATTAGATATTTACTAAGGTAATATAACAAGAAATACATACAAGAATTAGATAAATTACTTTAATTATTATGCTTGAAAATCCTTTTTTGATCAAAATTTAGGCATCACGTTTTGCGATTCCAACTTGACTTTTATTGCACCTTATTAGTGACTTTCTGGATGCAGTGAGAAATAGAATCTTTGATCGTAATCTTTACAGGTCCCTCAACAGCTTGAGTGAGGTAGAGAAGCCTTAAAACAAAGGTTTGCTCTCACCACCAGATTTGACAATGTGCTGAATTTCTTAGTCAAATAAATATCTCAAAAGCGGCTGTTTGGTTAAGTAAATTAAATAAATATATAAAATAGCATTAAAGTGTATCACTAGTACTTAAAAAACGCCTAAGTGAGGTCTAAAACCAACTTTTTTTATAAATTCAGTGTCGATGCGGAGGCAGTTACTCTAAACCGAATTGATTAATATTTTGCATGACTTCATTTAAGCCCTAAAGGCACAAAATTTTGACTATTACATTACAGATATCTGAAAAAAAAATTTTCGCTCCACCCTAGTACCTACTAATGTTACAAAATGACTTCCGTTTACATTCCACGTTCCGTATCCTATGACACTCCACATTCAGCCTCACACATGTATGACTGTACATTGTATTGTAACAGATTAGCTAGCCCACAATAATCTCTCACGTTGATTTATGAACCGACTTAACGTTCACGGGATTTTTGTTACGTTACTGCGTAAATCTGCGCCACTTCAGTGCAAATGGCTTTCAGGCCGCTAAATGAACAGCACGTCAAGCATACTTTTTGTTGCAAAATAACCTCTATCACAACTGAATAAGATGTACAGTGTTCAGCTTGTGTTGTCGTTAGTAAGTTTCAAATGGTTACGCCCGTATTCACAAACGATACCTGCTTAAGTAAAGCAGCAAATCTAACGCACAGCGTTGAATAGAGCTCTGTGATTGGTTCGTGTGTGACCCTGTGCGTCCACGCACACTGTGAGACCTCATAGTAATGTTTGTGAATACGGGCGTTTATAACGTTACCTACTGCGTAAATCTGCGCCACTTCAGAACAAAATATCTTTCAGGCCGCTAACATGACAGCACATCTTGCTATACAGGTGACATTTTGTAATGCCACCTGGAGGGAAAGTTGGTACTCTTAATGTAGATAGAAAATTTTACTCACATAGAACATTCCTTTATTTTTGAAAAGAAAGACAACTGCATTCAAAGATTAGGGTAGTTGTTACTACAGAGGTCACTCCCAATCAGTTGACATACTTTTATAGGATGTTATGTGACCTATATTTTGTGTAGTAATTGAAAGCTATGACGTCACTTATACGCTGATGAAGTTATTGATTTTAAAGTAGCATCTGGAGCTTACAGTTCATTGAAGGCCTATACGGTTTTCAGGGTCTAAATTAAGTGTATAAACGGTGTTTCGAAAACAAGTAGGGAACCCTGTATAACAGTCTCAAATATTTAGCAAAATATTTTCTAGGTACATTTCCTATTCACATAGTACATTCACCCCGTTCTTAGCTAAAATAAGGTTTGCTATACTTAAAACATGCAAATATTTCTATTACAAACATGAAATGCCCCAACACGCAATGTTTTCACTTAACACAGGGCTACGTTAATATTTCATAGACGGGCACTTGAAGCGACCTCTAGGGACGAATTTGTAAGCTGTCTAAGGGTTCTTTTCTTTTATACGGCTAATAGGCCCTTTACATGCGAAGTGGTGACAAATTGTAAGTAGTTATTTCTAAACAATGAGAGTACAACTCGTTGATCAACCATAAAAACCTTAATAAATGGTTTACTTTACCTGTTTTGAGACAAATTAATACTTTCTATCTATTTATCTATTTAATATTTCATTCAGATTAAAGCGATCTGTGCAAGCTGCATTTAGGTAGAGTATGCAGTCTACTCATACTCATACACATATTAACCGATTGAGCCCAGACGGCATTCATTAATGTCATAACAATTGATTATCTATTGTGTCTAGATTCGCGGAGCTTGAAGGATTAAATGTAGATGATGCTCTACGCTCTTTCTATTGTTTGATTTCAGGTTACACTTACATTACGATTAAGATCATAGTAATACATTATTATCGTAAAATGGCATCCACATATTATGTATTCGTCAGTGGAAAGGAAAAAAGACTAAAGCGCCAAAACCGTACTTGTGGGAAATGAGGATCAAAGTTTTTTTTTTACGAAAAAAATTCGTATCTCTTTTGATATTAATGTTAAACAGTTCTTTTAAAATGCAATCGTGTTCTTGATTTTTTGCCTAAATTTTAATGAAAACACCAGGTTTGTAGCTCTTTTAGATCGTAAAATAGGTGTCGCTTTAGAAAAAGAGTCATGAAAATTCATTAAATGTTAGTCAGGGTAAAACTGCTAACCTCCATTTATAATCAAATATCCAGCAACCAATAAGTGCTAAATAGTTTGAACAACCTTTTTGATAAAAGAGAAAAAATACTTAGTGAGATACAGCTTAATAAGTAAGTCGAAGATAAATTACTAAACTACAAAATAAGATAGTCGCATGCGCCAGCGAAAAAATGCGTAAAAGCGATATTATCCATGGAGCTTACATGAATATTTGCTTACTTACGCAGACCCTATAGAACGAATATAAGC